AAAGTTTGATTATAAAAGTGAGAGATAATTTTGATCTTGCTGATGATCTGGACTTAGAGAGGCTACAGCTATATTCTGGTAAAGTTTCAGAAGCAACGGGATCTGTGTAACCGCCTGCCTATTATACAAATCACTGTTACACAAAACTAGTGTCCATTATGCTACTCTATTATGAGTAAAGGCTATCATTTATATCACAAATTTAAGACTGTAGGTAGATGTAACATTCTTATTCATATCTATCTATTAATGCCTGTTTTTATTAATAGTTATACATGCAATTAATTATCTGAGTGCAATATAATATGGTGAATGGACATGGATATACTGACAAATATTAATAATAAATATTGTTACTTTATAATCAATTCATAAATAGAACTTTTATACAAATGTCTTTGTCTAATGTAATTGCATCAGATATAATAATGGCACATTAAAAGCAGTAGCAGTAACAATAGCAGTAGAATGAGAATGAGATGACAGTGGTAGTGGTAGTGGTAGTGATAATATAAGAATAAACTCAATTTTTTGTTCGCTGTGATCAACGTTACACATTCCATATAAATCTTGATTTTCCCTAAAATTTTCTAATTTTGGTAAAAATCTAAATTTCATTTTGTCACAACATAACATGCCCAAGGAATGATGAATCAGAAAAAGCACAAACAAGCAAAATATGAGAAAGTAACCCAACATCAACACAATGTAACAGAAGCAAATAGATAACAGAATATTGAACTTTGAATCAAGACTTTCATCTTTTTGGGTGAACACACCAACACTGAAAGGGAATTAGGTGACATCAGAAATTTATAAATCAACAAAAAATAAAAATAAAAGTGAGTGGATTTATTAATACTATAAATAAATTGAAATTATTCTTTTTTTAATACATTAGACATAAAATATTATTCACAATAACTAGTCAGTGATTATCTAAATTATTGTTTTGTTGTTTATCCAGGAATTAAAGTAAACTAAAATGATCAGTATGGTGGTAAAGATAATGATGGAATATAAACTTAATGGTAAAAATCTAATTTTATTTGAAACTTTTTTTCTGATAATATTCTATATACACTAAGTCACCTAAAATAGATTTAGAACATAGTTTGTGGAAACTAATTGCCAATTCAGTAAAAAATAAATAGTATTGAAGAATTGGAGGATTTTTTAACAAAATGGAATAGAAATGACAAGAATTGTATGTTGATGTCTGATAAATTAATGGAATATCATATGAAGCTACTTTTAAACTTAACAAAAGTTTATCGATATCTTTACAATCATTATTTAAAAAATGATGGCAACAATAATAATAAAAAATTAGAGGAAAAATTAGTGAGAAAATTTTAACGCCTGTAATTCAGAATTTATTTCAAAAAAAAAGTACAGATTTGTATCTCTTTTTGTAAGTAATAAATGACATCATTTTAAATATAAATTGCTTATTTTAAATGATCATCAGATAAATATGAATTTTTATCTATTAAGTGAAGTATGCTTATTTGCATCAGCTGAAGATGCCGATTTAAAAAAGAATGATGCAGAAGAACAAAGTTCTGGACAAAAGATTGATGTTTTCTGAACAACAAAATCTGCAAAAATTGAGTTTGCCATTTCCGAAGTTAGCGGACCTCCCAATCAATGACAACACTCACATTTTTTTCACTGATAAAATAAAGATTGGAAAATAATGATAAACAGAGTAATTTGAGTTTTTCAGTATTAATGACAATCTTATATTTTTTGTCTTATTAATTTTTAAATGATTGTAGATCACAACGCAATTGTGTACAAAATGACTGTACCATTTCGAGGATTATATGTATTTAAAGAAGTTGTACGATCACAATTACCAACTAGTCAAATCAATATAACGCTGATGCGTCAATGCATACCAATGTTTCTTTTATTTAAGGTATACATCCTTATTTTTCGTTGAGACTTTTTTTTCAATTAATTCTTGTATACTAACTAAATTTATTGTAATGTTTATTGGAAATGCTTCTAGAAAGTTTAAATAATTTACACGAATATATCATGGAAGCAGGTTTACATATGTTACCGGAATTAGATTTGGACGCCCTTTTGGCCGAATTTAACTAATTCCGAAATTCTTAATTTTTTTTATTATTATATTATATTTATTAATTATTTGTATAATGTCGTAATTTATTTAACTTATTTAAGAAAGAATCGTCTTGGGATATCCTCACAATTTTGGGATATCCTCGCAATTTTGAGATATCTTCACAATTTTGGGATATTAGAATTACTAATTAATTGAATTGTATATAAGAAGCTTGAATTCAATGTACTTGTAAAGTAACTTTCTCATAAGCTAATTAGTTTCGACTAAGAAAACTAAATAAATAAAATAGTAATATTTTATTTAAATAAACTTTTATCTTTAACCAAAATTATTCGCTAATACCAAAATCAATTCGTTGATCCCTTATTCATTCTGATCCACGCAAAAACAAAAATAATTGTTATCACCAATTAAAATACGCTCTCCCAAATTTAATCGGTGACACATACACCATCTGAAAAGAGTAAGACATCTCTATTTATTACAGAAATGATGTATATACCCCAAAAAGAAGGAAGTAAGAAAGTTGATAATAGAGAAGTAGGCAAGAGAGGAGGAAAAAAAAAGAATTAATGCATTTTACAATAGAAAATGCTAATAATAATGAAAACTTGTTAAAAGATTTCAATAATCATCAGAACAAGTGAACTCTGATTTATTATTTGTTTATTCGGGTTGTGTGCTATATGCATAGTAAAAATATAATTATATTTATAGCATAACATATAATTGATAATAAAGAATCACACTACATTGTAATAATAATAATTATACATATGGGCGGATTTGACTCATTCCCATAAGTAAAATTATGTGATACCTGATGAAAATGTTATATAAACATGTGATGAACATGTGATAACCTTATTAATTTCACCCACAAAAATTTTATTTTTATTGCCGTTGGAGTTAAATTGGTTTTAAATTGGTTTAAACTGGTTTTTAAATTGGTTTAAAAGTCGTTTTTGAGCTTTAGTTCCTGAAGTGGCTTGGGTAAAAATAATATTTTTATTAAAAAAATGGGAATAAAATGCTTATGAGTCAATGATTAAGAGATTGTAGGATATATTTTATTAACTTACTCAATTTATTCATTATTTAGATTATCAAATATTCATTACAAAAATTACGTTCATCATGACTTGCATAGTGGTAATATTTATTCCTATGAAATTGGTTTTAGTATAATAGGAGATTTGATAGTAAAGACAATCTGAATAAAATCTACAGGGTTATTCCGTATCTGGCACCTGAGTATTATCAAAAAAAACCTTATACAAAGGAATTAGACATTTAGAATTTTGGATGATAATGTGGGAATATACTTCATGAAAGAAATCCGTTATTTAAGGTGTTTTATATAATTATTTACTATAACGAAACATAATGAATCACTTGTTCATGTGGTATGGCATTAATAGAACCAGAGGTTTTTTCACTAATTATTAATTGATTATTATTTTCAAACTATAATGTTATCAATTCTCATAGATCAGAATAAAATATTTGAGGAGAGATTTTGTTTAGATAGAAAATAAACATTTCTCATTGACATTTCATGTTCATTGATTTATAAATGTCTTTCAAATGCAAATTTTGTACTTCCATTTCAAAGTTACAAAAATGAAGAACTGCATTTTCATTTTCTTCACATCCTAAAATTCTCATAGATCAGAATAAATATTTGAGGAGAGATTTTGTTTAGATAGAAAATAAACAATTCTCATTGACAAAACCTGACATTTCATGTTCATTGATTTATAAATGTCTTTCAATTTCTTTTAGACTTAAATCTGTTGTATCTAATGCAAATTTTGTACTTCCATTTCAAAGTTACAAAAATGAAGAACTGCATTTTCATTTTCTTCACATCCTAACCATGAATACTTTATTAACAGTTTTCTTTGATGTGTTTGTTTATTAGACATTTTTAAATGAATAAATTGCAATAAATATTTGTTTCAAAATAGAATCATACCTGAAAACATCAATGATTTATTGTTAACAATAAATGGAATTATAATAAATAAAAGGATTTTATTTGATTTTACTTCAAAAATAGAATTGTATCCGAAAACATCAATGATTTATCATCATTAACAAAATGCTTTTATTTTGTTTCAAATTATGCCCGAAATTCATTGTTAATAATATTAATATGAAACGAATAAAACGATTGAGCAAATAAAATGAATAAACGAATAAATGAATAATTCGAAGAAACGAAGAAACAAATAATAATAATAATAATAATAATAATAATACAAAGAATTTGTATTACGAATATCAAATTAGCCAATCACATTAATAGTCAAACATTAAACGATTGGGAAGTGTATTTTCCGAAATTTTTTGGTGATCAACGTCGAAATTCTAATAAAATTAGCCACAAACCTTAATTTTAACCCTTCTTTGCTCCCCAAATTTGAGACAGATTTTTTAAGACTTATTCCTTTCCTTTGGAAAAAAATTAGGAGAGGTTATTAATAAATCTTGGTATTAAAGTTTATCAACCAAATTACCGAAATTAATTATCTATTTTTGGTCATTATTCCTGATAATCTCCTGCCCACTTTTTGTGTATTGATAAATAAATTTTGATAAATTTAATATGTTTTTTGGAGTTTTTTGCCATTTTCACTAAACTTTAATAAACAACAATCTACATAAAGCTATACCTATATGAAAACTTATAATAATTTACATCTTTTCAACCACTCACCAAGTTTATAAAGGTAATATTGGTAAAAAATCTTAGCTTTGAAATGCTATTTTTGAATAAACATATCTTGACATAGAGAGCCACTATCAATATGGGAGAGAGCTTGTTAGAAAGCTATAACGTCATAGTTTTATTTTTGTTTAATAATGATGTTTGAATTTGTTATAAAAATAATGAGATATTTTAAAAACTGGTTTGTTACACGAGTCGAATTTTCATTTTATACATGTAATTAACACTTCCTGTGACATATCGTTTGACTGATATTAAATATGAATAACGAAATCATGTAATTTTCCATATTCTTCGGAGAAATACAGTTGCACACTGTACCAGTGGCATCTTTATATATCATTGGGTTTGACACGTCCATATCTTTCAAATAACTTTGTTTGTAGCATCTTCAACTGGCATTAAAGAAGCAAAATATTTGATTAAAGATTAGAAATGCGAACATTTCATTATCTTTCTGTTGTACTGTTTGCAGCATTGTCACTCCTATGCTGTCAAACATATCTTGCTTGCTTTGCTCCACAATACTTACAAAAAGAAATGCCAAACCTGACATGTGAGCCTGTGTTGTGCCAAATGTTCTCTCAAATATAACTATTCTAGTTATGACTCCTCTAACTAAATATACTCATAAAAGATTCATGTGGTTACTATACTGGGTGCACTATATTTTGTATATAGGACTTCCTCGTTGTTGCCACAAATTCTTTTCCTTTAGGCTCCAAAAAGCTCTGGAATTTCCTGCCTTCCATTTGCTTACAATTTCTTATTCTTTCTTTTTCGAATTGAAGAAGCTGGTTGATAACATCTTGATGGTTTCTTCTTTCAAAAATGTTGCATTGTTGGGTATTGTTACGTAAAAATAATATTTATAAAAATTTTAAACTAAAAATTTGTTTACTTAGCTTCCTTGGTTTTTGCTAATCACAGAATTTATTACTACTAGAAAACTTCAAGAGTAAGCAGACTCTAATTTGTTAACATGTTCATTTTGTTTTATTTTTCATGTTATAATCTGGCATTTGTTGTTAAATGAATCAGGAAAATATTAACAAAGCTTATGAAATTTTTGAATGCAAGTGGAATTAAATGCCGAATCGTTTCGGGGTATAGTCATCTCTTGTCTAATATGTACACTCTTGAAAAACCCAGTTCATCTTGGACATCCGATGATATTATGCCAATTGCCAAACTTTTTTCCAGAGACAATTTTGAGGGTGCTTTGGCTCTTACAAATATTAGTACAGGTTGATTGATATTCGTAGTATAATTGATCCGATCTATGTTTTTGCTCATGTTGATGAACAGATACTTCCCGTTATAATTTCACAGTTATCCTTATCTAATTATGTTTGGATACGACTCGTGCACAACGTCTTATTGGCTAGCTTCAGGCTTGTGTAAAACGGATTTGGAATGTTTCTTTTCAATACTAATAATCCAAAAGTATATTTCTAAAAGATTGTATTGTTCTAGCAATTATTAGCTTTTTTAAAAATAACGTTTATTTGGGTGAACAGCAACAGTTAACAATGAATGAATCAACACCAATCCCAATAATAATAATGGTATTTGCCATAATTAGTAAATTGCGACGACGGTTGCAATCCCTAAACATGCATAATGTAACAAATACATGTATGAATGTACTTGATTCTGTACATTTATTTATTTTTCACACACTAAAAAAATAAGCTGTGGCACTATTGTGGCATTTACCTTTGAAGCTTCATTTTATCTGATTGTGTTGCAAAACGATATTTTAAAATCTTTTAAACCAATGCTAAGTTCCAAATGTCACAAAGTTCAAGAAAGATCACCATTCTTCCGTTAGCATGAATGGATGAATGAATGAATGAATGAGTGAATGAATGACTTTTAACTTAATATTTAAATAAGGGTGTTGATTCTGCTTTACGATTCACTTGGACCCGTTACTTTATAGAACAGTGACTTGTTGTGAAACGCTTTATTTTCATTAGATTCAATTGTACATTATACAAAAATGGCAATTTTGGCCGTTTTTGTGATTATAGAATTAGAAAACGATTTAGTAAATTTCATATGAAAAATACCAATCTTAAATTACTAGAAATATATAGATTAAGTTTTTATTTAGACAATGATTATGTCCTAAATTTTTTTTGTTAAGATTACTTTGCATATAATCGATTTTATCTGTCCATTTATAAATCATCATTTTCGTCATCTTTATTTAACTGATAAATTTTCTTTGTAGTTTATTTTATTGGCTAAACCGTAACATAATAACTCCCCGATAATAAAATATGCAGTAACCAATTAACTTGGTAATTCTTAAAAAGTCTTCTCCTTTCCGTCTTTCAGCCAAGATAACAAACAAACAGCAAATTAATTAATTATTATTATAATGGTGATGAATTGATTTTTAATAGAGATCAACAAGTTAATTTTTTTCCCGTGCTTTTTTTATACTCTTCATTATAATAATAATAATAACATAGCCGCGTGAGTATATATATATTGTTATTACGCGTATACTATATTGACTTTTAACTCCTGAAAATAAGAAAAACAACATTATTGGTAATTCAAATATTGATTAATGTCATAGCAAACATTTATTATATTGTAATAGTTTTCTCAAAAAAGAAATCCATTAGATCACAGATATATTTAAAAAAACTCGTATTGAATTATGTTTTTGAAACAAATTAATAATTTTATTTATATCAATGGTTCTACACATTAAAATTTATAATAACTGCAGTATAAATATTTACTTTGGTTTCAGTTGATTGAAAAGATTATTAATTAAAAAAGCTAACACCAAGAATAAATAAGGAATAACTTAAAGCACAGCCCGTTGTCGTAAATAAAATTAATTTATATCTGTGTGCGACCTACTTGATATGAACCGGCAAAGCAATAAAAACACATATATATATTTAATTAATTTGTTTTTTTCTTTCAATTTTACAAATATTTTTTTACCTTTACAAAATACAACTTTTTATTAAAATCAAAAATCTTAAAAATACAAAATGTTTGAAGAAAAATTAGAACAATTTTCAACAATTAGACATTGTGAAATATTGGCAGATCAAATGAAAACAATAAATTTACTCGAAATAAATTATGATATTTTTCAGCAGAAGCTCGACGAACTACAAGAAGCTTATAGAGAATTGGATGACTATGAATTGAAATACAAGGAGTTGATCTCCTCTTCTTCATCAGCAGACCAACTAATGTTACAAATTATTAGAATGACAATTCAACATATTAACAAATGTCATCAAGAATATCTAGATAACAAATGGAAAAAGTTTAGTTTTACACAAAAAAGTTATATATTTATTGAAAATTTGTACAAACAATTTATTCATTTTTTGAAAATGTTGAGCAATTGGATAAAAAATATCGGGGAAAAATTTATTCATAAATTTGATAAATTATTCATCAAAGAATCCTCTTCAATAATAACATTAGCAACCGAGACGATAGAATCAAAAGTTCTTGAATTAAAATTAAATAACGATAATAACTATAATAATAATAATAATAATGATGAAATTTTAACACATCAAAGAAATTATTCAACTGTATCAACGATATCAACGATGTCATCTTTTTCAGTGCCAACAACCCCAGTATCTAATGACACCATGATGTCTTCTTCATATTCATCAGCATCATCCTTAGATGAAACCTCATCACTACTTACGCCTTTAACAACCATAGATGCTTATTCATATGCTGATCTTAAAAATGATAGGAATCAATTTGCTAACAATTATGATGATTATGACGAATTTGACGATGAGTTCTTTTCGCAAAATATAGTTCACGTTGATACAGTTTTGCAAACGTTGAAATTAGAATATTTATTAAATTTAAGATTTTACAAAATATTTATAGATCAAATGTTATTACTACAAAATACAGATTTGGATCAGAATAATCAGTCATCCTCCAAATTACTTTATGATATAGCAGAAGGCTATAGAAAAATAATAAGTTCATTTGAATCATTAGAAGATGAAATTTCAAATGATAATTTATCAAATAATGAAGAAAAAAGCAATTATAACATAATAAATAATAACTTTAATTATAAGAAAAATAAAATAAAATATTCTAAATTATCTTCCGAATTTGTTGGATTTACACCAGCTGATTGGTATTTAGTTGTATTGATAAATATGACTGGAAAATATCTAGATGATAAATTGGATGATTTAGTAATACTAGAAAACAACAATAACAATGGTGACGGTGATAATAACAGGAGTGTAGAGAATTCTTCACAAGTTGAAGTAATTAAAGATTTATTTAAAGAAATTGAAAAGCTAAAAGATTTATTTGTCGAATAGAATAGTTAATATTTTATTATTATGATAATAATAGTAAATGTAAATTGTAATTAATATGTAATTATTTCGTTAATTTAATTTTAGATTTTTTTTAGAAACCAAAAAATGATTATTATATTAAAAAAATATACATTTCTTTTCTCACTCTTAAATATTTAAATGTTAATTTTATTGTAACATTACTCTCATCACTTTATTAACATATTAATCTTCTACATCAGGAAGAGCATCGTCTCATAAGATAATTTGCCAAATTATCATCACAATATATATATAACTCATGAAATTTTTAAAGAATGTACTAATCAACCATCCTTCTAATCTTTTAAATATGACAGTAGTACCAAGTAATGTTTTATTTTTACCTTTGATTTACAGCATTATGTATATGGTTTAATGTATGAATGCGGAAATCGTTATTTTCTAAGCCATCAAACTGTTTTTCAAAAAAATTAAAAGATAAATCAGGTAAAGGTAGACGTGCATCATCATGAATAGCTTCATCTGCATCCATTAATCTTGATTCAATCGCAAGAACGCCTCGAATTATAATACCATCTATCAATTTTACTTTCATATGTCAATATACCATTACCATTATTGTATATACAGCGAATTACAATCGAGATTGATTACCAAATGTACAATTATTTCATTCGATATCCATTCACCACCAATAGATCACCCATTAATTAATTTGTTCATTCATTAAATCAAATTGCACCGGAAGTCACACAAATCATATTATCATAGTATCCAATATACTTCCGATTATTAATGTATCTATGTCCATTCCTTTGTTGGCATAGTTGTTGTTGCATTATGATGTAAAGCAAAAGTCAATGCATCTCCAACCACATGACAGAATTCCTTTTGAATACTATCATTCGTTGAACTTGATAGGCTGGAATATTATATATACATAAACATATAAATACACACACACACACACACATATATATATATATATATTAAATTCAAAAAAAAAAAATACAGATATAATTGATAACATTATCATACACCAACTACTACATGTAATAATTAATTAATTCATTGATCATTTCTCCGGTCGTTACATCCCAAAGGCATAATTTTCTATTGCTTTCTCGTCATAAAAGTTTGACAATATCATGCTGGAAACATATAGTTACACTACAACGAGTATGCTTTCGTGTATCGTCGTCGAGGTTTCATATATGAAGACTCAAATTATTTGCTGCTGTGATAAAAATCATGCGAAAGAATAAAATAGACTAAAAATAGATGAATTTCATTTTAATGACGAGAGATTTGTGCCATATTTGAGGCACCATGTCTTAACAGTACTGCCTGTACTCTCATTCATACATCTTTTTTGTTTCAGATCTAATATAACTGAGTGTATTATGTTTGTATGGCCTTGTAAATGCAAAATAAACTCACAATTCATGATATTCCAAACCTTGACAATGCAATCATCATAAATACTGACTGGTAACCAAAGTATGTCCGATGCCTGCTAATGTAAGAACAGTATCCTGAAGAGTGCAAGGGAAATATGTACTATTACTAAATTGAGTCCTATCAGATGATGAATAAGGCATAGTACGATGATAGGTAAATATTACACTTTTATTGTAGTGTCATTTGAGCCAGTGACAATCAATAGGCCATGAGTTCAATAATTAAATGGTTCGTTTTACATTTGGATTATTAACATTTTGTGGTATTATAATTTGAAGACATCTAACAGCACTGATTGGATTCTTTTTCCGGTCTATATTTCATGCAAACTCACTCATGCAAGAATTGTATATACTGCCATTTTTGCCTGAACCTAGTTTTAAGCATGAATTTGAGTGTATGAGAATCTTGTAAATTTGTATCATCACAATTATTATTATCATTATCTCTCTTCAATAATTGAAAATGAATAATTTTCTTGTTTTAGAATTTTATCAGAATCAATTACAAGATCATCACCATTGTTGTTGTTGTTGTTGGTATTATCATTATTTAAAATATTTCTTAAGTTTCAACTTTCAGAATTGTCATTGATAATTCCCATAATCTCAGTATTGTCAATTTCTATAAATATTTCTTCTGAACCACTATCATCACTATAAATTACCGGTGTTATTATCATCAATATCATGACAATTTGTTTTTATTTGATGATGTTGTTATTGAATTTGTAAAATATTGGTTTTCTGTAATAGTACCAGACAACAAATGATTTTTCCAGGTCAAATCTGATGTGATTCTTGCGTAAAACTTGTTGTAATGTGTAACATCATATAGAACTTACAAGTATAATAATTACGCGCAGACTTATTTTAAGTAGGAATACTGTACCTACGAAATCTTTTGTTGTAGTTGTTATTGTAGTTACTAATGTTTCTACTGCTGGTGATGGTGGTGATTATGGGTTAAGTAAATGTAAAGAAGTCAAAATTTGAATCCAACTAATATTTTTCTTAAAATTCAAAAATTAGGTTCCTCGACGAAACATTCTCTTCAATTTGCTCGATATTACCATCAAACACTGTAGTTGTTGTTCATCCGTTGACTTTGGATCTGATAATGACAATAAATAAACGAGCTTTAATTTAATGGATACTTGTCGTTTTCATAAAAAAAAGCTTAAATTCCATTGGCTAAAATTCATGATCGGTGGGGTGAATTTGTAGTTTTAAATATATTAAACTAGAATTTTTGATGTTGAATTTTCTACCTGTTTTCTAAGAATAATAAAATATGGCCGCGTGACAATTCTTTCT